GTCTTTGAGAGCTCATAGAAAACGTTCTTCAACAACCCCTTCACCATTCCTTGACTGGTTTAGAAGACACATCTGGGGAGCTTTTGCCTCTGTAATGGCGGGGGCTAATGAAAAGCATACCTGAACAACAGGGAGGAGGTTGTCTACTGGGGAAGAGGCAGGATCAGCATGGGGATATGCAAATATTTTGCACATAGGACCAGGACCCATAGGGCGAGACTTAAGCCGAGGACGGCGGTGCGGCTGGGCGGAGGCATCGCAGACCTCACGACGGGGAGCATCATCTCTCCGTCCTGTTGCAAAATCAACCTGCAAAACAGACCGAGTACTTCAAGCGCCCCGGGCTGTGGCCTTTCCCCTTCCCTTCCAATACCCGCGATCCTCGGTATCCGCCGTATGGAGAGGTCCCGCGCCCCAGCGCCAGAGTGCCGCGAGCGCGGGGGTGGAACGGTGGGGGCACAAGCGTAGGGGTTGCAATCGATTTCTCGAACGAGGCGGGGCCCGCCTCTACGACCCGAAAGGCAGCCGAGGCGAGCCGAACCGGAGCCGAACCGAGTGCGCACGCCCGAGCTGGAGTCATCAATAGCAGTGGCCAGAACTCGCTGCAAGGTCTCTGCGCCTCTCGTGGTCCGTCAGCCCTTCGGTCGCCACATCACATCCCACACTCATTGCCTCCTAAACAGCTCGAGAACACAACAAAATGTGAGTACATCCCTTCGTGTCGAGTGTCAGTGGACAGGAATGGCGCAGAGCTAGCAGGGGGCGCGGCCGCGGGCGGGCAGGCCGAGCGAGGGCCAGGGCAGGGGCAGAGCCCGGGGCAGGCACTCTGTCATGGCCGCGCGGAACGGCACGGCCCCCGTGTGCACTGCCCATGGGGGTGACTGCTCACACGGGGACACGGCACTCATCAGCTTCCCCGGACAGCAGTGCAGGCTCCGGAATCTAGGTGCTGGCGCACTCGGGGGCAGCCCGCCGACCCGCGGCCGCCCGCGGCACATATGTAGGCCAGACCCGTCAGCCCTCCCCCTCCGCCCCCGCGAGCTCACCCCAGCTCAGCCTGCACAGCGCCATCGTCCTCAGCCGTGCTTTGAGACCCCGCACCTGCGGCACCTGCGTCGCCCGATAGGCCGCTTCGGTATCTCGGGGTGTTAGCGCTCAGTGTCCGGGACAGGACAAGGGCCCCCGTCCGCCCCGTCCCGCCGCCCCGGGCCCCGCGGCTGCTATCGATTATCAACAGTTGACCTCCGTCACGGTGCAATCCGATGTGAGTTGGTTTAGCGGACGGTCGGTGTCGCGGGTGCGTGGGGCTACTCTGGGCGGGTGACTGTGTTTCGGCGCAAAGTGCCCGAAGTACGGCAGGCAGGAGTTCAGCATGTAAGTACCTGCATGGGACCCGCAGTGCGCGGCGCGACGACGTAGCAAGCTCTGGGCCTATCAAAGATAACAAAGTACGACGTCAGGACTTGAGAGCCTTCAAACCCTAACATTCCCCGAGCACCGAGTCATAAGACGTGTCCATGATAAGCAACAATAAACAAGAATGCGGTGGTGGCATAAACTTCGCACTAACAATGGAACTGGAAGGGAGTTTAATCGCGCGCACGCTGAGCAATCTCTATCAATATCAATCCATGCTTCGGAAAAGAAAATACAGAGGGCAGAAGCAATTTATAGTGACCGGATAGAAGAGAAACACAGGCGAATTTACAGCAATGCAATGATTCGACCAAGTTGAAGAACAGAGGTTAGGGACGTCCCGTTCGATGAGAGCCTACGTTCGCTCACTCTTCCTTCCGAAAGACATTGGGGCGTGGCGAAGAAGCAAGCGCGGGGGTGAAGGGAGCTTGCAACGAAATAAGAAACTTGCCAAGTGTACAGCCACGCGGCCTTTTGCTGTGCCGCTGCGTAAGATTTTACAGCAATGCGACCCAAAGTATCCCACCCCTGGCCGCGCGAGGGGCACGGAGTCCATTGTGCCCAATGGCGCTTCCCTGCGACGGGTTCAGGCAGTCTACACGTGCGACCCGGAACCGAACGAAAGATTAAAGTCCGTGGTGTTACCTATTGACTGCCGTGTTTTGATTTAAAATACTTCCAGAATTTTTTTTAGAACATTTTATTCCTAAAGCATGTCTTATCAGCAGGTAAAATACAAACATTATTATTTTTGTCAAGCAACTTTCCTTTAAAATAATTCCCAAGATTTTTTTGTCTTTTTTTAGGGGAAGAGAGGGGGGGGGGGTATTCAAATAATTTTGCTTGTGTAAGGCCGTTGTCGGTAAGCCTCCTTGACGAGGATTTGCTTGGGAGCAGAACGATTGGACTTGCTGACGTTGTTTTCTATCCTATTTTCTTTGCAGTGGCAGCAATTATAGTCGCTAGGGTTGTATGAAAAGGAGGGGGAGGGGGAGAGGTTGCCTTGCCACATTCGTCCCCGCCAACCACAATTGCATTTGTTTGGAAAAAGTCGAAAAATGTCGAAAAATCGACGTGTTTATTTATTATCTATTGTGAAGCATATATTGTAGTAGACATCTAGTCATTTAAAATGACACTGTTTTATTTTATTGAGCTGTCGGACCCAGTATGTGTTTCTACCTCATCTAAACGCATCCCCTTTTCGCTGTGCCTTCAGGTCGGCTCCAGACGGCGCAGCTGCAGGTGCGGGAGGAGATGGCGAGATCGTCGGGGGACCAAGGAACCCCCAGCAGATCGCTGCGCAGAGAAGATTACAACAGACTCAAGCGCAAGTCGACGAGGAAAGTTTCGCCTGTATAGTAATAATAAGTTTTGTGACGATGTCATGTATTTATCACGCCATTCTTCGATGCGCAGGTCGTGGACATAATGAAGACCAACGTGGAGAAGGTGCTTGAGCGAGATCAGAAGCTGTCAGAACTCGACGATCGAGCAGGTTAGCAGCTAGCTCATCCCTATAAAGTGTCTGTCGTGACGAGGACAATCCAACTCCAGCCAGACAATCAAACCTAACAAACCATCTACTGTAGCGTTCGCACTACCTGCCACCGTGTAAGAGCCGGGAGCGCCTGGCAGGGTAGGCATGCCCGCAGCGCGGCCGTGTATACGCCCGCATCGGTGGCCTACCCGCCCGGCGCTCGGGCCGACCGCGCCTGCCCGTAGACGTGTGGTGACATTCAGAACACGCCTGCCCGTAGGCGTG